TTTTTTAAGAACATTTTTGCGGAACGTAGGGTATCACTTATAAATTTATCTCTAACTGAAGTTGTCGTCTTGTTGAGGTGGTCACGTAGCAGTGTCGTCAAGTTTTTTCTTTCCATCTCTTGTTTCTCTTTGTCTTTAATTGTTTGTATATAGTTCTCCCCGTCTGCGATGACTTTGAATAGTGGAAATTGTTTGTTGTCTATGGGTAAGGCATATTTAGGACCCAGAGAAAGAAGCCACTGAATATCGGTTGGAATTTGTATGCTAGTCGTGTTACGGATCCATTCTGGTATCACCCTAATGTTTAAAAGTAGTTGTTGTTTATGTCTTAAGTTTTCGTACTTAGCAAGTTGGGTAGTTTTGATACTTTCTTTCAATGTGTTCGTCAGCAGTTCCTCACTTTGGAAGAATGCATTGCAGTCACGTGTGTTGAGGTGTTGTTTTATTCTTGTTTTTAACATATTTACCTCTCTTTCTTTTTGCCGCAGAAGTTCGTGTTTAATTTTGATGAGGAGATTTAAAAGTTTTACTTTTGTCTTGTCGATATAAGCAGACACAGCGTTAGAAATGTTCGCCGATATTTGGTTGTTGTTGGTGTTGTTGCTGATGGTGTACAGAATGTTTTTGGTAGCGCTGTTGATAAAATTTGGAGTTACTCCATTTCTTCTGCACCTCTCCAGGAATTTCGTAGATTCTGATAGCTGTGTGATCCGTTTTATAGAATGTTGGTAGTTCTTGATGCACTTTCTGGCTTTGATGTTATATCCTCTTTTGATGTTTCTGTAGACCATGACTGTGTCTTGGTCGTCTTGGGGTGCTCTCCGTTTAAACATTGTTTATTTATATTTGGCCGTTAATTGAAAATTCTGTTGATATTTTTTTGAGCTCAAGGCCGGGTTGAAATAAAACAATCTGTTTTTGTTGTTTTTAAATCGTCTATATTTCGACTTCAGTCTGAAGTCATCATCAGGACTGCAATAAATATCTTAATTACAAAAATTGCATAAAAGACTATCAACATACTGTATATAAGCACAATTTACACATTCGGCTGCGCCTGGTAGACTAATGTGTGCAAAAATCAAAAGACAACAAACCAAAACAATGAGACGAAATGGACATAAAAATATAAACAAATGAAAGAACAGTAATTGTAAACAAAAAATCATACAAACAACATTGCGAGTAAGTGTTCCTTAATTTTACGTTCGATTTGTGAGCGGAAATCCTTGTCTTAAGTTTTGATTTGGTTGTCCCCACATATACTTGTTTGCATACGTGGGACCCGTCGCCATTACATGGAATACTGTATACTACATCAGATTTCTCATGCTTGGGATTTTTTTCTTTCGTGTTGCTAAATATACTTCTCAGAGTATTGTCGTATGTAAACACTAATTGGCACTTTCTCTTTATCATATAGATTGGAACATTTGATTCTCTCTGATAACCCTGGGACATACATAAGTTGCTGTTTTATAAATTTTCTTATTTGAATCATCATTTTTCTTTTCTTCGTTCGGACGAACATAGTAGTTTTGAATTAGGTTTTTAATTAATTTCCCCGGAAAATCATTGTCCTCCAGAGTTTTCTTAATATTGAAAATATTTTTGTTGTGATATATTCTGTCGCTGATAGAGAGAACTCGTCTCACGAAATTGTTGGCAATGTTTACAATTATTCTTCTTTCCTGCTTAGAGTTGAAATTTACAAGTCTGCCCGAAGCCGTCGGTTTTTTGTACCAGTCTATAGTAATTTCGTTGTTTCTCCTTATCACTAGGGTGTCCAGAAAAGGTAGTTTTCCTTCTTTTTCTACTTCTATTGTGAATTTTATTGATTTGCTGAGACCGTTTAATATTGTAAGCATGTCGTTTGTGTCCTCGGTTTTAACTATAGCGAATAAATCGTCAACGTACTTAGTAAGAAGTCGTGGCTTATTGACCGACTCCTGTTCGAATTTTTTGAGTAACTCTTCCATAATGATGTCCGCTATAACTGGTGATGATGGAGATCCCATGGGCATACCTGAACGCTGCTCATATATTTTATTATTATATTTAAAATAGCGGTTTTCTTTTATGCAGAATTTTACCACAGTCAAAAAAAGTTCTTTAGACATATATGTGTACTCTTTCATATCTTCCCACTTTGAAGCTATGATTTCAAGGGCCAAATCCACTAAAATACTCGGAAACAATGACACAACATCGAACGACACTAGACTCTCATCATCATAAACATATGTATCCTTGATCTTGTTCTTGAATTCGATCGCGTCTTGGACATTATATACGGAGGACATGGTTACCTTTTTCAGGATTTTGACGACATATTTACATAAATTGTAAGACGGGGAATTGACGGACGAACAAATAGGTGTGAGTGGATTTTCTTCTTTGTGAATCTTTGGTAAGCCATAGATTCGTGGTGGATTGGCTGTTTTACACAAAAGCGCATTCTTTTCTTTTACATCAATAATTTTATTACTGAACAATTTCTCAACTAGTTCGTTGTTCTTGTCCTGTAGTCTATTAGTAGGATCACGTTTTAAAACTTTGTATGTGGAAATATCGTTGACTATAGTCTGCATTTTTTTGTCATATTCTGATTTATCCATCAACACAGTTACATTGCCCTTGTCGGCATTCAGGATCAAAAGCTCTTTATGATTTTTT